AAGTGTTACGGTTTACGTTAAGCTGTACGTACGATTTTCTTACATACATACAGTACGTTCTCCATCTTGAAGTGTTACTGTTTACGTTAAGCTGTACGTACGATTTTCTTACATACATACAGTACGTTCTCCATCTTGAAGTGTTACGGTTTACGTTAAGCTGTACGTACGATTTTCTTACATACATACAGTACGTTCTCCAGTGACATTTGTGGAAAAATTCCTTGATGGTATTTTTCTCGCCATGAGTGAGGTTCTTTAGGGATTTGTCTTAACAGTGTCCTGTGTATACGTACAGCTGATGTATTGGACAAAATATCAACGTCTAGACTGGTCTGATACCAATGTCACTACAAACCAGTTACATGCAAGGGGATTATATCTGTGTATAGATGAATGTCGAGATGTATATCTTGAAATACCAAACTAACCAGTTCAAACTGAGTTGTATAGTATGTTCGTAGATGTATTCATTAATCTAATCTGTTATAAAGATGGAAACAGTTATCATTTCTGTGTTATATGGATATACCTAGTACAATGAGAAATTCTACTACTCAATGCAGTAAGTATGCACAGAAACTTTGCTAATAATTACACTAACCATGTCAGAGAGACTGCTACTACTCATTGCAGTAAGCATGCACAGAAACTTTGCCAATAATTACAATAATCATGTCAAAAACTGCTACTAGTCATTGCAGTAAGCATGCACAGAAACTTTGCCAATAATTACAATAATCATGTCAAAAACTGCTACTAGTCATTGCAGTAAGCATGCACAGAAACTTTGCTAATAATTACACTAACCATGTCAAAAACTGCTACTACTCATTGCAGTAAGCATGCACAGAAACTTTGCCGATAATTACACTAATCATGTCAGAAACTCTGTTACTACTCATTGCAGTAAGCATGCACAGAAACTTTGCTAATAATTACAGTAACCATGTCAGAAACTCTGCTACTACTCATTGCAGTAAGCATGCACAAAAATTTGACTAGTTACTATACTAAGTATACACAGAAACTACTTATAACGCTAAGCATAGACATGTATTATTTTTTATAGAAAACGTTATTGTCTGAACATTAATTATTCTTCTACAACAAAACATAACTACTAAATATTCTCACACTGGTACAGAACATGTGTGAAAATGTGACTTGTGTGTTGTATTTTCAGCGTATGTGTAATTAATGGTTTTAGGGTTCATAACACATCTTAATAGTTATATGTTGCACGTTCTTGGTGTAAGTAACACTATTGTGGATTAGGAAAGATGATTAAAAACTTGTGGATTCACATCATCATAGTTAGTTTTAAGCATAAATTTGCTTAAATACTAAACTTTTAACAATAAAAAAAATAAACTTCACAGACTTTGCATAGAAATAAAAATATTATAAATTTTTGCAGTAAGTGACACTAGATTTAGAAATGTGATTTCGTCATAATTCCATTTTGTATTTGCATTTTAATATTTTGTTCTTATTGAAAATAATCTTTATCGTTTCCAGAATGGACCTATGAGGCTGTTTTATAGAATCACAGATAAACCCAAGAAAAGGCCTAAGACTTCTAACTCAACCTGTTTTCAAACGTCAGCTAGCGTTGGTGTCGGCGAAACAATGACGGAAAGTCAACCATTGTTGAACAGAGCAAATTCAGTGATAAATACCAATAAAACGAACACTTCATCTGCTAAAAAAAGAGAAAAGAGACGAAAACCCCCAGTAGAAACTCAGTTAGGTTCCGAAAAGAAAAAAGGACGCTTTAATAGCAAAAAGAAGAAAAAAAATCATAGCGACAATTTCCACAAACCATCAAAAGGGCACAGTCCAAGTGGATCGAAACACACAACCAGTGTTACAGACTTGTTAGAAGACGACAAGAGCGTCCAAACAGGTAAATCCGATTCACAGAAAAAGTCCTCCAAGCAATCGTTCCTGGAAACACCGATGGCGTTTCCAATTCAAAATGGGAATGATCGACAAAAAGAATCGTCAAAGAACAAAACATCGAAACAGTCTCGTGCCCTTATGGAAACGTTATCCAAACCAGAAGAGAAGACGATACTTAAACAAAAGGGGGCGTTGCAGAAATCAGAGAAACTTACTGGACCAGTTTTACCAAAGAAAATTACAAGTCAGCTTGAAATAAATAACTCTATCAACGCAGTTGAAATCGAGAAACACTGCAGTTCACTTGGGAACAATAAGGTTTCTTTTGTTGAAAACACGAGTACTGAACGACTCGTTGAAAAGAGGAAACCGGTTATCCCTTTCAAACCTCGGAAACCCACCAACATTGTTGAAACCAAGAGACACGGCAGCCCAGTTTCAACTGGAAAAAATAGTAATGTAATTGAAATCAAGAAAATCTCCAACCCTTCTGATACAAGGAATCATTCATGTCCACCTGAAACTAAGAAACTTTTCAGCGAAATTAATGATACCTCCATTACAAGTGAATCCAAGAAATTCGTTATCCAAAATGAAACTAAAACACGTAAAAACTCAAATGAATCCAATACACCTGCCACTTTGATTGAAAATAAAAAACTTGTTAGCCGAACTGCAACTAAGAAACATACTAACCCAGATGAAACTAAGAGACTCTCCAGCCAAAGTGAAATTAATGACATTTCTACTACACTTGAATCCAAAAAACTTTTTAGTCAAAATGAAACACAAACACGCGAAAACTCAAGTGAATCCAATGCACGTGTCACCTCACTCGAGAATAAAAAATCTGTTAGCCAAACTGGAACTACGGAACATACTAACCCAGATGAAACTAAGAGACTCTCCAGCCCAAGTGAAGTTAATAACATTTCCACTACATCTGAATCCAAGAAACTCGTTAACCAAAGCGAAACCATAACACATGCAAACGCAAGTGAAACCAATACTACACTTATAATCTCAGTTGAGAGTAAAAATCCTGTCATCCGAACTGAAACCACGGAACATGCTAATCCCGATGGAACTAAGAAACATGATAGCCCAACTAACACCAAAAAGCTTGTTAGCCAAACCCAAACTAGAAAACTAGTTGGCTCATCTCAAATGAAGACGCTCGATTCAGATGGAATCGATAAGCCTAACGGTGAGTCTTTTACCATTACAACAACATTTCTAAGAAACGTTCACTCATCTTCAGTCACATCGTCTTGTGAACTTACTACCGATGAAACTCGCCAGAATGCAGGCCCAACATCAGAGGAGATGTCAGTAATATCTGCTGGAAAAGTGGATCCACACTTGCCCAAAGCTGTCCAGAATCGACTCGTACTTCTTTCTAGTAAGAATGATGAGGATTCTCGGCAGCTGGCAAAAATCGAGAAAAAGTCGAGAAGAGACAGCGAGCTGAAAGTCACAAAGTCCCCTGAGTTCTTTGCCAGTAAACCCGGAGAAATTCCTCCTTTAAAAATTTCCCGAAGATTACCCGCCCAAGTTGTTGATCGTGATAAATTTGACTGTAATACGTGCAGCAGATTAGGCCCCGAAACCCAGTTAAACAATAGGGATAAATTTAGCGGATTAGGCCCCGAAACC